TTAGCCACGGCGAGACCTCCACTGCATCCTGTCAAACGCAGAGTCCTAATAAATGACACAGGGCATAGTTCATTTAAATGGATGCATTCGGTGATTCTGACGGAATGTTCATGGGTCGTGGAGTGGAAGTTAAGGTGGAGACTAGGGAGAGAGTAGTCGCCAGGGGGAGCTGGTCTTGCTTGTAGGGGAGGGAGGCGTATGCTTGTGTTGACAGGCTACCAGTGTTTTCAAAATAAACTTCTGTCTTCACAGGAAACTACTCAATAGGTTTAGGCAACACAACTACTCAGTTAGGGTTAGGGTCGATTATTGTTTGGGTTAAAATAACTATGTAGGTGTTAGAGCCATATTTTTTGTTTTATTACAAATCATATTTTCTAAATTTGCTAATAGATTTGTTTGATCTAAATACATTCCTTTGACTTATGGATATGAATGGATGTTAAATTTCGTATTCTGAATAATGTTTTTATTTCTTTGGGAACTATTGTTATTAATCTGATGAGGATCAGCTGTGATAAGAGGAAGAGGTGGGACTGAGTCTCGGGTTTTTTTCCTTTGTGTAGAACGGGGCATCGGGACAGTCTTTGACCTCACGTTAGACTTATGCGTTTGTTAAGTTAGTTAAAAGTGTAAATATATCGATCCAATGACGGAAATGGAATCAGCGTCTGTAGATTTATGATTTGGACTATTAACGTGTGAGTTGAGAAACGGAGCACCGTAACGTGGCACAGTATGTAAGAAGAACAAAGAACAGGCCACCACAGTAAGTGTAATTGCTAAATTATGCAAGTTACGTGAAGAATAAATCAACAATGACTTCTTGTTTCACATGGGGAAGAACAGCAGTCTCCAGGCTGAAAGATCGCTGATGGTTGGATCCATCCACCTCCCCTCCTGTCCACCCTATGTGGGCGGTCTTTAGCTGTCAGAGCTGTCACTTTCAGTCTGGACAGGGTTATAAGCTGTAACCTCTGTATGAGAGCAGTGCAGAGTGGTGGCCGTGAGCTAACCAGTGGGGTACGCTTATATGCACTAAAACACGCAGGCTGGCCCTGCTATGGAGAGGCATGTTTTAAAGTGAAAGTGTCAGCAGGTCAGTGCGATGACATCAGTAACCAAGTGGCTTTTCATGGATTCCTCCACTCTCTTTAGGGCCTGTGTCAATATAGCATTTTTTCTGAGCGCCAGCATCTGTTTTCAATGGTTCCCAATGAGGAGACAGCATAAGCGGCTGCATGTACAGTAGCTGAAAGCTGCAAGCACTTTTCTGCCAGAAAAAGACACTTTGTGGACTTTTATCACTACTTAGGCACTGTTGATGCAGCAGAAGTAAGTGATACAACTAGACAACTTTGTCCATACACTGCGAGAATTTGTATTGAATCAGAACAATGACATGAGCAAAAACAGCATTTTCACATAGGTGACCTAGATAATTCTATAAACACCTACAGTACAGTATCTTTCCAAGCATTTAAACATACTGCAAAAGCAGTTCATGATGTATTGGATCCTAGATTCAGTCAGTATGTCCTGATGTTGTGTCATGGGGAAAGATAAGCCCCTACAAGCCAATGCAAAACACTGTCAACACAGATCAGGAGCAGAATGATCTATGTCAGTGTCAAGGAGCTGAGAATAACAGAAGCGTCGATGTTCCAGGTAGAATAAATACTTAAGCATGTGAAGTGAAAGATAATGACCTCCATGTGGACTCCTTCTCACAAACTTCCCAATAAAAGTCATAATATGTATCTTAACTTTGTTGTCTCTGAATTTGATTTTGGATTAGACCCGTAATGGCTGCAATACAGAGACAAAGGTGAGATATTTGGAATACAATCAATATCAATTGTGATACAGCAGCTGAAGAAAAATGTATAATTACAAACCTTTAGAAGCCTTTAGTAGAAGCTCAGTCTCTGTGGTGAGTCAGGATGAGCAAATGTTAGGGTGATTCAACACTGCACAATCACACCACAGAACAGCATGTGACCAAACGGCTGAGTCACTCACACATGCACACCAGAGTGAAGCTTGAGGAACACAACAGAGTCAGCTACAAGTTAGTTCACAGCAGACAAATCTGAAGTACAGGAACATTTTCCTCAACATAAACAAAGCACATCATGTAATCATAATCATATACAGATTAGCCTTGTTGTAACACCCATCCACCAGTGGTGGGCCGTCAGGGCCAGCAAGGCCTTCTCTGCTGGCCTAGACAGAATCACAAAGTTATAGCTATTTCGTTATTTAATTATTTTTCATAAATACACAACATGTATTCTAAATATTTTTTCCCATTAGCTTATTATCTCATTGCATAGCTACTGTCTTCCTCAGTTGCGCTGCTTCCAGCGCTGCTCCCAGCACAACTTGTTTTAAGTAGAGCTTTTATCAATCAGATTTTGCCCCTATGCTGTCTCTAAGTAAAAAAATCTGCACGGAGGCCTTCAGAATTACAAGTCAATCCCTTTGCAGTTTAAGTAAATGGGGACGATATTGTTGACTGTCATAGTCTTCAACCAATCACATTTTTAGTTTGACATGTTGGCCGTATTCTTTGACATGCCAGAGCTTCTAGCTGGCCTACAAGTACGTCAGAATTAACGTGCGGCTTGATTGGTCAGTGGGCTAGCGTGACTGTTGTGAAACTAGCTAGCAGAACCTTGTTTTTATATATACACACACATACACATATATATACATATATATATACATATATATATACATATATATATATATATATATATATATATACATATATACACATACATATATATACACATATACACATATATACACATACACACACATATATATATACACACACATACATATATATATATATATACACACACATATATACATATACATACACACATATATACACATATATACATACATACATACACACACACATATATATATATATACATACATACATACATATGTATATATATATATACATACATATGTATATATATATATACATACATATGTATGTATGTATATATATATATATATATGTAT